TGTATAGTTACAAAATTGGTCCAATTTGACAACATAAAGCCGGTAGTGTAAACCCAGCTTAATAGGTCAGAATGTAATCATGCATTCTGCGAAATTAACCACTGGCCCGGTATCCGAGGCCAGTAAATTTTCCGTGGGGCCAATGAAACTGGTAAATGAACAAGCCTGATGGGCCAGTGGAAAAAAAGGAGTAAATGGTCTATTAATGATATTTCAGCTTCTTTATGTGACGAGGCTAGTGTGTCTGGTCTCACAACAGCGTATTTCACTCACGATCCCTTGCGGCCGGCTGATCGCCTTTGTAATCACTTTGTAAAAATTTGAATTAAATTTCACCGTCACCTTTACCCTTTAAAAACATAAATAATAGATATCACTGTTATTATCATGTGTAAACGATTTTATTTTCCAGATATCAGGTGTAGAGAAGAGGCCAAGAGGAATTTATAGAGGAGGTATGTACATGTTTTCTTCACATTTAGTATTTTTGGTTGTCGATGTACGCTTAAGGGCCGGACACATTAGGCGATTTTATCGGGCGACTCAATCGGCGGTGAAAATCGCCTAATGTGTCCAGTCAGTCGCCGCTGATTTAGTCGCCCGATTCAATCGCATTGATCACAACGTTTTGATAATATCAGGTGATTATTTCAGTTGCGCGACTCAATCTCCTAGTGGGTCCGGGTCGGCGAATGAGTCGCCCGATTGTACAATTCATCAGCCAATCAAATGGTGCCATTTTCAATCGTGACTATCAATCTAGGTGGCGCGAGCGTTGTAGTGTTGAAGCGGGAGAAAAATCGCCGATCAATCGCGCTAAATATTCGCCTAGTTTGCCCACTCTCAGTCACCCGACTCATTCGCCGGCGACTATCGGGCGATAAAGTCGCCCGATTAGATTGCATTAAAATCGCCTAGTGTGTCTGGCCCTTTAATAGCGAAACAGCAGGTGGGCAATTCCACGCTGGAGGGACTATATAAGTAAAATCTAAATTAAATATTTCAGGACAAAAGATGTTTGCAACTGCAAGAAAACTCATTTAAGTAATTTGAAAACAACTTTTTACTGACATGGCAGTGTTGATTTTTAGCTCATCTGACGTAGTCAGATGCAGCTTGTAGAATGGCATGATCGTCCGTGCGTGCGTCCGTCCATGTGTCAACAGTTGGGCACAAATCTTAACCACTCGGGGGTGCGGTCATGGTATTCTGGACGTCGGGGGGGGGGATCGTGAAAAGGACTCAGGAGGACAAATTTGGGGGTCAAAGGTCAAGATGTGTAAACGGAGGGGGAATATCTCCCCCTTAACTTAAGGTATAGGAGGAAATACGGAATTGCGGCACAAATCTCAACGGCTTGACCTATGCTCTTAATATTCGATGTATAGTGTGATGGGAAGAATAACCCATCACCAGCGTAAAATTGGAGGTCAAAGGGCAGTGGGGGAAAGGTCAGATATCAGACATTTTCTGAGGACATGGTCTGACGGACCGAGTGCAAAACTTTTTTGTTTCAGCGGTGACCTAGCATTTTTATCACTTTATTGAAAGAACCATGAAATTTGCTTTCCGCTGACGTGCGAAGAGTAAGTTATACATTATGTAAGGTAAATTTATACATGATTCGGTACCTGATACCGATTCGGATTCGAATTTCGGATTCGGAAGAAAGAAGAGAGCGCCAGTTAATGTAAGCGGGCTATATAGTACTACAGCTAG